CTTCCCAATTTGTATCCCTTTAATTTCTTTTTCTTGCCTAATAGCTCTGGCTAGAACCTCCAGAACTATATTGAATAGCAGTGGTGAGAGTGGGCATCCCTGTCTGGTACCAGATCTCAGTGGACATGCTTCCAACTTTTCCCCATTCAATTGGATGTTGGCTGTGGGTTTTTCATAGATTGCTTTGATTGTATTGAGGAATGTTCCTTCCAAACCCAGTTTGCTTAGAGTTTTCATCATGAACGGGTGTTGTATTTCATCAAATGCTTTCTCTGCGTCTATTGAGATAATCATATGGTTTTTCTCCTGCAGTCTGTTACTGTGGTGTATCACATTGATTGTCTTGCGCACATTAAACCATCCCTGCATACCAGGGATAAATCCCACATGGTCTGGGTGGATGATCTTTCTGATGTGTTGTTGCATTCTATTGGCGAGAATTTTATTGAGGATTTTTGCATCTATGTTCATCAGGGAGATTGGTCTGTAATTCTCTTTCAATGCTGCATCTTTTTCCAGCTTAGGAATTAAGGTGATGCTGGCTTCATAGAAAGAATTTGGGAGGACTCCCTCTTTTTCAATTGTTCTGAATAGTTTGAGAAGAATTGGAGTCAGTTCTTCTTTAAATGTCTGGTAGAATTCAGCAGTGAATCCATCTGGTCCTGGGCTTTTCTTTGTTGGGAGGGCCTTTATTACTGTTTCAATTTCTGTCTCGGTTATGGGTCTGTTTAGGTTTTCGATGTCTTCCTGGTTCAATTTAGGTAGGTTGCATGTGTCCAGGAATCTATCCATTTCTGATAGGTTTCCCTGTTTGCTGGCATACAAGTCCTTGTAGTAATTTCTGATGATTCTTTTTATTTCTGTGGTGTCTGTTGTTACGTTTCCTTTTTCATCTCTGATTTTATTGATTTGGGTCTTTTCTCTTCTTTTTTTAGTTAGTTGGGCCAATGGGGTGTCAATTTTGTTTATTTTTTCAAAAAACCAGCTCCTCGTTTGGCTGATTTTTTGTAATGTTTTTCTTGATTCAATCCTGTTCATTTCTTTTCTGATTTTAATTATTTCTCTTCTCCTACTAGATTTGGGTCTGGTTTGCTGTAGGTTTTCTAGATCCTTGAGGTGAATCGAAAGCTCATCTATTTGGTGCCTTTCCAATTTCTTGATGTAGGCACCTATTGATATAAACTTTCCTCTTAACACTGCTTTTGCTGCTTCCCAGAAGTTTTGGTATGTTGTGCTGTTATCCTCATTTTCTTCCAGAAAATTTTTGATTTCTCTTTTAATTTCTTCTATGACCCTTTGTTCATTCAGGAGCATGTTGTTCAATCTCCATGTGTTTGTGTATGCTCTAGGGATTCCTGAGTTGCTAATTTCCAACTTCATTCCTTTCTGGTCTGAGAAGCTGCATGGTATGATTCTGATTCTTTTGAATTTGCTGAGACTTGCTTTATGACCTAGTATGTGGTCAATCCTAGAGAAGGTTCCATGTACTGCTGAGAAGAATGTAAAATCTTTAGCTGTAGGATTGAAAGTTCTGTAGATATCTGTTAGATCCATTTGTGCTATGGTTTCGTTTAAATCTACTGTATCCTTGTTGATCTTCTGTCCTGTTGATCTGTCTATTTCTGAGAGTGGAGTATTGAAGTCCCCCAGTACTATTGTACTGGGGTCTAAGTCTCCCTTTAAGTCCATTAACAAATCTTTTAGATAAACCGGTGCCCTGTAGTTAGGTGCATATACATTGATAATTGTTATATCTTCCTGTTGAATTGATCCCTTAATCATTATATAGTGTCCCTCTTTGTCTCTCTTAACAGTTTTTGTGGTAAAGTTTATGTTGTCCGATATTAAGATGGCTACGCCCGCTCTTTTTTCATTTCTGTTGGCATGGTATATCTTTTTCCAGCCTTTCACTTTCAGTCTGTATGGCTCTTTGTTGGAAAGATGTGTTTCTTGTAAGCAGCAAATAGATGGGTTTTGTTCCTTAACCCAATCAGCCAATCGGTGACTTTTAACTGGACAGTTCAGGCCATTCACGTTCAATGTGACTAATGATAAGTGGTAAGTTTGCCCTGCCATTTGCCAAAGATAAGTTCTAATATATGCTTTGAATTCCCTGTGATCTTTTGCTGTGAGGTTTCCTTCCTTTACCTTCTTTCATATTGATGACCGTGTTTCTGTGTTTCTGTGTGTAACACATCTTTAAGTATCTTTTGCATGGCTGGACGAGTGGTGACAAATTCTTTCAATTTCTGTTTGCTATGGAAAGTCTTTATTTCACCTTCATTCACAAATGATAGCTTTGCAGGATATAATATTCTGGGTTGGCAGTTTTTCTCTCTTAGTAGCTGGGCTATATCTCGCCATTCCCTCCTAGCTTGTAGGGTTTCTGATGAGAAGTCAGCTGTGAGTCTGATTGGAGATCCTCTGAGAGTAATCTGACGTTTCTCTCTTGCACATTTTAGGATCTTTTCTTTATGTTTCACTGTGGAGAGTTTAATTACAAGGTGTCGTGGTGAGGATCTCTTTTGGTCGTGTTTATTAGGGGTTCTGTGAGCTTCCTGTACTAGGATTTCTCTGTCCTTCTCCAAACCTGGGAAATTTTCTGCTAATATCTCACTAAAAAGGCCTTCTAATCCTTTCTCCCTCTCCATGCCTTCAGAAACTCCTAGAACCGGAATGTGGGTTTTTTTTTAACTTTTATTTAATGAATATAAATTTCCAAAGTACGATTTATGCATTACAATGGCTTCCCCCACATACCGTCCCTCCCACCCACTACCCTCCCCTTTCCCACTCCCTCTCCCCTTCCATTCACATCAAGATTCATTTTCGATTATCTTAATATACAGAAGATCAGCTTAGTATACATTAAGTAAGGATTTCAACAGTTTGCTCTCACACAGAAACATAAAGTGAAAAATAATAGATGATGTTTTTTAAATGATGATGAAATCAGAGAAGACCTATTGTCATGTTTAATCCCAGTGAGAGTCAAGTTGGGAGTTGATAATTTCTTTCTTTCTTTTTTTTTTTTTTTTTACAGAGGATCAGTTTAGTATACATTAAGTAAAGATTTCAACAGTTTGCACCCCCATAGAAACACAAAGTGAAATATATTGTTTGGGTACTCGTTATAGTATTAAATCTCAATACACAGCACATTAAGGACAGAGATCCTACATGAGGAGTAAGTGCACAGTGACTCCTGTTGTTGACTTTACCAATTGACACTCCTGTCTATGGCATCAGTAGTCTCCCTATGCTCCAGTCATGAGTTTCCAAGGCTATGGAAGCCCTCTGAGTTCTCCGATTCTTATCTTGTTTAGACAAGGTCATAGTCAAAGTGGAGGTTCTCTCCTCCCTTCAGAGAAAGGTACCTCCTTCTTTGAAGACCTGTTCTTTCCACTGGGATCTCACTCGCAGAGATCTTTTGCCAGAGTGTCTTGGCTTTCCATGCCTGAAATACTCTCATGGGCTTTTCAGCCAGATCGGAATGCCTTTAGGGCTGATTCTGAGGCCAGAGTGCTGTTTAGGACATCTGCCATTCTATGAGTCTGCTGAGTATCTCACTTCCCATGTTGGATCACTCTCCCCTTTATTTATTCCATCGGTTAGTGTTAGCAGGTACTGGACTTGTTTATGTGCTCCCTTTGACTCTTAGTCCTTTCATTATGATCAATTGTGAACAGAAATTGATCACTTGGACTAGTGAGATGGCATTGGTACATGCCACCTTGATGGGATTGAATTGGAATCCCCTGGTATGTTTTTAACTCTACCATTTTGGGCAAGTCAGCTTGAGCATGTCCCAAATTATACATCTCTTCCCTCTCTTATTCCCACTCTTATGTTTAACAGGGATCACATTTCAGTTAATTTTTAACACTTAAGAATAACTGTGTATTAATTACAGAATTAAACCAGTCATATTAAGTAGAACAGACAAAAAAACTACTAAGAGGGATAATGTATTAAGTTGTTCATTAACAGTCAGGGGGAATGTGGGTTTTTTTAATAGTTATCTTGAAGATTCCTGACAATATGTTTTAGATTTCTAATTTCCTCTTCTTTTCTTTGGTCTGACTGTATCCTTTCCTGTTCTCTGTCTTCTAAGTCCGATATTCTCTCTTCTGCTTCACCCATTCTGTTTGTAAGGCTCTCTATTGTGTTTTTCATTTGATCTATTGAATTCTTCACTTCATTATGATTTCTCGTCACTATCACAGTTTCCTGTTGTACTAGTTGTTTCGTTTCATTTTGATTCCTTCTTAACATTTCATTTTCACGAGAGAGATTTTCTATGGGTGTTATGACTGTGTGAGGAACGCCATAGATCTGCAGTAAGAACATGGTTGATAAAAGGGTCATTGTCCACATTAGTCATGACCTTGTGGCCCCAGTGAAGCTTAATCCCATGGATCTACATGAATGTATTCTGGAAAGTAAATAAACACCAGGTAATCTCATTTACTAATAAATACCAGTCTCTTCTGTAAAATTGCAAACAAAAGCCCCTGAGAAATAATTATTTCAGTCGAGAAACCTGTAGGAATTTCTACTTAAGTAAAGAGGGAGTAAATGTAGCCTAGGATCAGGTTTAAAAATTTGTTCTATAAAGAGAAGCAAAATTTATATATGAATAAATGTAGGCAGGGGAAACTATCTATACACATATATACACGTCTGATTTTAGGAGAAGATGCTTCTTTTTTAAATGATCAAACACTATTTTTATTTGCAAATCTGAAATTTACTGGAAAATGAAACTTTATTGAAAAAATTAATATTTTGGCCTGATCTCATTTTATTAGGCCACATGGAAAATACACAAGTGAAAACCAAAAAAAGGAAGTAAAAGTACATTTCTCTATGTTCAGAAAATGAAAATCATTTCTGTATGATATAAATGCCATGCACAGCCAGAATGCCTTCAGAGAACCTAGAGTCCAAGGTTCACCCAGACCCCAGCCCAGCCAGGACAGCAGCAGCCTCATTTCCCCATGGCCCAGCTACTCCCTCTGCTGACGGCCCTGGTGCTGTGCAGCTATGGCCCTGTTGGATCTCTGGGCTGTGACCTGCCTCACAACTCTGTCCCGCTGAGCAGGACGACCTTGGTGCTTCTGGACCAGATGAGGAGGGTCTCCCCTGTCTTGTGTCTCAAGGACAGAAGAGACTTCCAGTTCCCGCGGGAGGTGGTGAACGGCAGCCAGTTCCAGAAGAACCAGACCGTGTCTGTCCTGCACGAGATGCTGCAGCAGATCTTCAACCTGCTCCACACAGCGCGCTCCTCTGCTGCCTGGAACAACACCCTCCTGGAGGAACTGCACACTGCCCTTCATCAGCAGCTGCAAGGCCTGGAGACCTGCTTGGTACAGGCCATGGGAGAGGAAGACTCTGTCCTGACGGCTGACAGCCCAACGCTGATGCTGAAGAGGTACTTCCAGAGAATCCGTCTCTACCTGGACGAGAAGAAACACAGTGGCTGTGCCTGGGAACTCGTCAGAATGGAGATCAGGAGAGCCTTCTCCTCAACAGCAGACTTGCAGGAAAGCTTAAGAAGCAAGGATGGAGACCTGGCGTCATCCTGAGGTGGTTCTCGTTGACTGATCGCCCCATCACACTTGTACATGTGTATTTGGTCATTTCTAAAGGCTCTTCTTTCTGCTTTAGTCACATCAGGGAACTTGTTGAATTAATTCAGCAAATTACTTTGTTCATATATTAAGGAAGTATATGTGAAACGCATTCCGCTCCGGGGTATTGATTCCTAGGGGATGACAGCTCTGATATTATTTATTTACTGAATGTATTTATTTATTTATTTATTTATTTATTATTGTATCCTATTTTTATTTGACATACTTTTCACATAGCAGATGTTCACTTTTACATTGGAAATCAGGCTCACATTTCCATTTCAAGAAATATTGTATTTATTATCTATTAAATTTTTTAAAGTTTTTAAAGTTATGTACATTCATCATAATAAAGTCTACTTCTTTACTATTTTGTGCTGTTTAAATGCCTTATTTTTACTTAAGATGTGCATTAAATAAAAGTTTTTTTTTTTTTCTACCCTATATTCAGACACTGGCTTTCTGAACCAAGTTGAAGAATGGACAGTAATACTATTTACTTTATTATTCCACTCACATGACATGTGTAAAGAGAAAAATAACAGTATCAGATTTTGGAATTGCTTTGAGAAAATACACAGTCCCTGCTGCCTTGAAACATCATCATTTATATGGGAAAAGAAACATAAACATTGTACTAATTTCCCTTAATTGAAACAGTATAAAAAGGAGTAAAGCACAGAGATGTTTTCATACTGGAAGCTTTGGTACAGCTGATACTACAAAGGACAAAAGGGGGTAGATCTCTTTTTTAAAGGTACCTGGGAGAATTAAGTACAGAAGTTATGTTGGCTGTTGGGTACATGGTCCTAGAATGAACAACAAATGCCATGGGTGAAGGGAATAATTTGAGATTCCTTATTGCACGTCTAATAACAAGGACATTGGGATGGATTTTGTGAGTTACAAATGGAGAAGACCCTCAATATATAAAGGGAGAATAGGGAAGCAAAATGTGCAAAGGTTACTGAAATGAGTGGCCAGTGAAGAAAGAAGGGCAAATAGGTAAGAACAGTGTTCAAAAGACAGAATCGCGTTCAGGGGAAGTCAGAGTGAATTGTCCCCATAAACCTAAAAACATCTGTCTGTAGTGCCTTTTTTTTTTTTTTTTTTTGACAGGCAGAGTGGACAGTGAGAGAGAGAGAAAGAGAGAGAAAGGTCTTCCTTTTGCCGTTGGTTCACCCTCCAATGTCCGCCGCGGCCAGCGCGCTGCGGCCGGCGCACCGCGCTGATCTGGTGGCAGGAGCCAGGAGCCAGGTGCTTTTCCTGGTCTCCCATGGGGTGCAGGGCCCAAGCACCTGGGCCATCCTCCACTGCACTCCCTGGCCACAGCAGAGGGCTGGCCTGGAAGAGGGGCAACCGGGACAGAATCCGGCGCCCCGACCGGGACTAGAACCCGGTGTGCCGGCGCCGCTAGGCGGAGGATTAGCCTAGTGAGCCGCGGCGCCGGCCTTGTCTGTAGTGGCTTTAACAGATCTGGTTTAATGGAGTTACGGTACAGGAAAACTTATGAGGATAGACTGAAGAGGAAACACAAGCAAGGGAACTAGAACCATGAGCTCATAAAATTATTTGGGGAAGCTTGTTAGTTGAGTGGTAGAATTTAATAATACAGGACCTAGAGGAGACTGTGGGTTCATGTTGTTCCTGATTTCACTGAATATTTTCTGGGAATTATTTCTAGACAATGGATGTTTTGGCACAAGATTTAGAAACAGTTTAAATATTTGATGTAAGCAATTGATTTGTTAAAAATGTTCAGTGTTTGGATAAATATTACTTTGTAGTAAGCACAATGGTAATTCATTTGGTCACTAATGTCAATTAACTTCTCAGCCAAATTTTGAAAAATTTCTCTAGTTTATGTTGATCATTTACCTTGTGATTTTTAAATTTCTAGTCTTTGACATGTATATTTTCTGAAAACTCTAGGCATATACTCCTGATGGATACTTGTTTTCAACCTCACCTATATAGAAAGGGCTGGGGCTAGGTGGTTTCTTTTCATTAATACAAAATGTCTAGCGCAGAATAGCCATGCCTCTCAGTAATCTTATTTCTCTTTTTATTTGACATATCTTTGACTCTTGTATGAATCTGTTTTTACATTCACCTCTGTATCCCATAAAAATCATAGAATCTATGAGATGATCTAAATAACTTTCTGTTAGGAAATCATCCTAGAATCTTTTATTAAATTTTGTTTTTTTCTTTTCATCGCTATTCTTTACCATAAATCGAATTACTGCTGATTATCATCAAAGTAGTTTTCTTTGTTAATATGATAGTACAGTTTTCTTGTTGCTAAACTTTTTTTCCTTACTGTTGACAGTGTAAAATTTGCATTTCAAAGGCTGCAAATTCCATTTCCATTTCTCATTTGCAATATGATTTGCTATATTATTTATTAATCATCTTCATATTGCACTACAATGGACTTTTGTTTTTGTTTCATGACACTCATACACACTTATCTGTATATTCCTTATTGGCTAATTATAATGTATATTAAAGAACTCAAACAATATATTTCACTTTGTGTTTCTATGGGGGTGCAAACTGTTGAAATCTTTACTTAATTTATACTTAACTGATCCTCTGTAAAAAAAAAAAAAAAAAAAGAAAAGAAATTATCAACTCCCAACTTGACTCTCACTGGGATTAAACATGACAATAGGTCTTCTCTGATTTCATCATCATTTAAAAAACATCATCTATTATTTTTCACTTTATGTTTCTGTGTGAGAGCAAACTGTTGAAATCCTTACTTAATGTATACTAAGCTGATCTTCTGTATATTAAGATAATCAAAAATGAATCTTGATGTGAATGGAAGGGGAGAGGGAGTGGGAAAGGGGAGGGTAGTGGGTGGGAGGGACGGTATGTGGGGGAAGCCATTGTAATCCATAAATCGTACTTTGGAAATTTATATTCATTAAATAAAAGTTAAAAAAAAAGAATAAGACACATAATAAAAATAAACAAGAACCGGATAAAAATCTTTCTGCTAACAACTAGAACAAAGAACACATTATTAATGCAAAGTAATAAATTTTAACTATAAATTTGTGTTGTACAAGATGTGCAACTGTAGTCACCATTATAAGAAAGAACTGGGATAGAGAGCTTCTGGAGTCCGTGAATTTAAATTTTAAAAGAATGAACAGAAGCAGGCATTTAGCCCAGCTGTTAAGATGCCAGCTGGGATGCCCACATCCCACATTGGAGTACCTGGGTTTGATGTTAGGGAGTACAGTCCCAGGTTTCTGATTCCAGTTTCCTGCTGACACAAATCCCGTGAGATAGCAGTGATGAGTTAAGACCCAGGAGAGATCATCTCTCTCTCTCTCTCTCTCTCTCTTCATCTCCATTTCCAGCTCCAGCTCCAGCTCCAGCTCCAGCTCCATCTCAAATTAATTATTTTTTAAACATTAACAGAAATCATAATATGAAACATAGGATGCATCCTTGGCTCCAATATAGGATTTTGCATTAATCATTCTATCTGTTTGTATATATGATCCTAGGTAACACACCAACTCACCTGACCTCTGTAATGTTTGGTTCCCCAAGTGTAAACTACTGTTGAAAAGTTATAGGGCTGTTATATTAAACCAAAGTACATCTTTTATAAAATCTTGTAATGTACCTTCAAATGAATGAACTATCTTTATTCAAGAGGCAGAGAGGCAGACACACAGACAGAGTGACCGAGAAAGCCCAACACTGATGCTGAAGAGGTACTTCCAGAGAATCCGCTCTACCTGGAGGAGAAGAAACACAATGACTGTGCCTGGGAGATTGTTAGAACAGAAATCATGAGAGCCTTCTCTTCAACAGGAGACTTGCAAGAGTGATTAAGAAGCAAGGAAGGAGACCTGGATTCATCAGCAGTTGATTCTCATTGACTGTCTGCCACATCCCACTTGCAAATGTGTCTTTCAATATTTCCACAGTCTCTTATTTCGTTTTTAGTTGTTGAATTTTTGAGTTAATTCTATAAATATTTTATCAGTATTTTAAGGAAATCCGTGTTTAAAATATTCAGTCTTTAAGAGATGACAGCCCTGAACTTATTTGTGTCTGTTTATTTATCTATTTATTGTTGCATGCTGTCATGTTTTTATTATTTAAATATTTTAGAGCAGATATTCACTTTCAATTATGTTAAAATTTATTAAACATTTATATTTTATTAAATTGTAAGTTGCTTTATTTAATACATTGATATGAATGAAAATTTCTGAAATTTTTTCTTCAAGAGACAAATTTCAAACCCTGGTATTTTAAACCAACAGATTATTTATTTTCTTATTCATTCATTGCATTTGTATGATATCTATAAGTTGATGATGAAAGTGACAGTATGTGGATTTGCCATCCGTAAATGCAGGTGAATGAAGCAAACACAGTTTTGGCTGAACTGAAATGGTCAGACTTAATGGGAAAGAAGCAAAAGATATTATAGAATTTACTTACATGAAATGTTACAGAAGGAAAATTGAAAATGCTAAATTATTCCATACATTTTAGATCCAAATAGTGTTGGGGGGGTCAAAAACTAGTAGATATATAGGAGGGCTTTCTAGCACACCATAGCAAGCATTCCCAGAGACAGAGTGTGGGGCTGGAAGGAGGACAGTCTGATCTCTCTGTGGCTACATTTTTGGGAGTTGCCTAAAGTGATGCAGAGGGATACTGTCCAGGTCTTCACACGGTTGAAACGTTTTTCAATAAGGAGTTACACAAACAACTATTGTTGAATGAGGGAATGCCCCTGTCACAGTGATGTAACTAAAAGGAAAGACAAAGCAGGACCCATCATACTCGGGGAACTACTAGAAGATTTTCAAGGGAAGGCCACCACCTACTGGCAAAGACAGACAGTGCCAAGTTTGGCAAGAAGGTCCATTCTGTTGTTGCAGAAGGCTTTCTCCTTCCACTGGTGTGTT